AGGCTTTACTGCTATTCACAAAGGGCTCAATGTCTAGCTTCTGTTCCACTTGCCCTGCCCTTCCCCTTCAAGACATGCCTCGCTTTCTCCCCAGAGTACAATTTTGTACTCCAAAGTACAGAGGCCGCCTTGCCGACCATTCATTCAATCATCCATTCCCCATGCAAATCCTCATGTCAAAAACCAAATGCCCAGGACAACCCCAGCCCCATGAAACCAGACTGTCGAGGGGAGGACTCAGGCATCAGTAGTTTGCAAAGCTCCCCACATGATTCCAATGAGCATCCAGGGCTGAGAACCGCTGGCTCCTCCATCTGGCCTCTGCCAAGGTGTTCTGCATCTGTGAGGTAGTATGTGGATTCTAAGTCATTGGAGTTTTCCTTTTCAAGGATCCCCAAGAACAAGGATTCTTAAACTTGTGCGTCAGCATCAAACAGAGGTGTGTTAGAACATGGATTCCTGGTTCTACTCCTGATTCAGAAGATCGGGGATGGAGCCTGAGAACCTGCATCGCCTAGTTCCCAGTTGATGTTGATGCTGCTGGCCCAGGGACCCCAGTTTTGAGAACCACTTCCCCGGAGCACTTGCACTAGCCCCTCACATGGCAAGCACAGCCCTGATGTAGCTGAACCACGCCATCACGAACAGCCACTGCAACACCATTCCAGGGTCGCCAGCTTGGACTCGGGCTGTAGCGACCATGAACTATTTCCTGGGCTGTGTTTGAAAGAATCCAAATATTTAAAGAGGAAAAGCCTGCCCTCCCTGCACCCTGCCTTGCTGCCTTTTTTCTCCCAACACTGGGACACACAGCATTTAAGAAAAGGGGCTGTGAGGGAGGAAGAGCTCCCACCCCAATTTCATCACTGACTGGCGGAGTGACCGCAGGCTAATGACTTCCTCTCTCTGTGCTCAGTGTTCTCCTCTGTAAAAATGAAGAGGAGAATAGGACCTGCCTTACAGACTTCTTATGAGGATTAAATTATAGGTTAAAATGCCTGGCTCATAATTGGTGCTCCACGAAGATTGTCGAGTGCTGTTGTTTCTGAAGGTATTATAGCTGTTATTATTATTATCATTATCAAGTCTTCATTTTTCCTGTCCTTTCACCAGCGTTTCTCCCTGATTACTGTCTCTTCCAACAAACACTTGTTCCCTTGGCTTTCAGGCTGTTTTCCCCTGTATTTCTGGCAGGGTTTTTTCTGCTTCCTCTTAGGCTTCTCCTCTCTCAGCATTAGGTATTGGATTCCCACGGGACTGGGTTCTAGACCCTCCCCTTTGCTCACTCTGTAACTCACTATGTGATGTCATCCACACCCACAGTGTCCAATGCACCTTGACTTAGAGAGAACTCACAAAGGTCTGCCTCCATCCTAGACCTCTCCTCCAAGCTACAGACCCATTGAACCAACTGCATTTCTGCTACTCCCTCTAGGTGCCTCAAAGGCACTCAACACGTTCAAAACTGACTTCATAATCTTCCTCCAGCAAAATGGTCCTCATCCGGGGTGCCTGTCTCAGGGCAGAGCTTCACCCCTCAGCCAGTTGTGAAAGTCAGAAACCAGAAATTCATTCTTAATACCTCCCTCTCCCTCATCCCTCACATCCATCACCAAGCCCTGTTGCATTTACCTATTGTATCTTTGTACTTATTGTTTTGAACTCGTCATATTTGTCTACTTCTGCCCATCTCCACCACCCTCATGGCCACCATTATGGCCCAAGTAATTAGCATCCTTTGTCTAGATTCTTTTTTTTTAAATTATTTTATTGATTTTTTACAGAGAGGAAGGGAGAGAGAGAGAGAGAGAGAGAGAGAGAGAGAGAGAGAGAGAGAGAGTTAGAAACATCAATGAGAGAGAAACATTGATCAGCTGCCTCCTGCACACCTCCCACTGGGGATGTGTCCTCAACCAAGGTACATGCCCTTGACTGGAATCGAACCTGGGACCTTTGAGTCCACAGGCCGACGCTCTATCCACTGAGCCAAACCAGTTAGGGCTGTCTAGATTCTTGCAAGTGCCTTTTTACTAATGCTCTCTACATTGACTCCAGTCCCCCCAGCTAATGCGGATCACACTACAGAGTATACTGCTGAAATGAAATGCTAATTGTAAACCTTCCCCCTTCCTCCTCTCATTCTCCTGATTAATTATTTTAAATAATTATATTGGAATTACGTTGGGATGAATAGAAAGCTCCTTAATATGCTATGCATCCCATATGGTCTGATCCTACCTACCTCCTGAGTCATATCACTTCCAGCTGTCTCTTGTTCCCTCTGCCCCAGTAGCAAACTCCCTCCTGCCACAGGGCCTTTGCTCATGCTGTTCCCTCTGCTTGGAATGCTTCCCCCTCTCTCTTCACCTGGTCAATCTCTCCTTATCCTCCAGATTTAAGTGCAGCCATCTTTCCTTCTAGGAAGCTGTCCCTGATTTCTCCCCCTAATGTGCGCTATGTTCTCATTGCAGCATTCAGCACAGTGGAAGTTTTATTTGTTTAACTGATTTATGTATTTCTCCCCCGGTACTCTGTATTCTTAATGAAGGCAGGAACTGTGGGTTATTCTTTTTTTTTTTTAAAGGGAATTAGCCTAACCCAAAAGAAAAACTGCCATAATTTCCTTTAAAAACAAGCATTGTGTGGGTAGAAGAATAAATAAAGTTAGGGAACTAACTGTAAGAGAGAGCATGAACCAAAGGGCTTTCTGATATTTGTATCTGCAAGTTCTCACTGCTTACAGTTAAAGCCAAGCCAGCCACTGCAGTGAGCCTCCTGCCTGCGGAATCCAGAGACGGAGATGGTGCCCACTCGGACTTTTCACCCCCATGGGGTCTGTCTGTGTCAGCACCCATGACTCAATTACAGCTCTGAACAGCACTTTTGTTTTGTGGGCAGATTTCCTCACTTCCCGTGAGTTGCTCAGTTCCTTCAGGGCACATCTTATTCTTCCCCCATCATCACTGGCTCTGAACTCCGTACCTAGAGAGGCACTTGATAAAATTTGCTCACTCCCTATGAGCCTCAGGAGGTGCAGATCCTTACTGACTCTCCAGCAACCAAAACTAGCACAGAGGGGGCTCTTAGTATATCTTTGTAGAAATGCATGAGTGATTGAATACTCACCATGGAAAAGGCTCTAGATCAAGCATGTCAAACTCCAAGGCGAACATGGGCCAAATAAATAAGGCATGTGGCCCGCAGGCCATGAGTTTGACATGTTTGCTCTTAGATGCTGGAAATTCAACAGTAAACCAGAGTTGATTTCCCTGTGTTACTTCTCTTTGTAACCTCGTTTTGAGCTATTTTAGCTTGAGCCCATTTAAAAAAATTTAAATTAGAGAGGAAGGAAGAGGGCAAGGGAGGAGGGAGGGAGGGAGGAAGGGAGGGAGGGAGAGAGAGAGAGAGAGAAAGAAAGAAATATACATGTGAGAGTGAAACATTGATCGGTTATCTCCTGCACATTCCCCCACTGCGGAATGAACCCACAAACTGGATATGTGTCCTAACTGGGAATCAAAACTGTGTCCTTTTGGTGTACGGGACAATGCTCCAACCAACTGAGCCACTCTGGCCAGGGCTAACTTGAGCCCATTTTAAAATTTAGTTTTAACCTGCATGCCATGAAACATAATCATCCCTTTCTACATTGTCAGGAATGTTTTAAAGCAACATACATGTTTCACTCCCCTTCCCTCCATTCGGTGAGTTGGCTGTTTCTGACCTCCACACCTAACACATCTGAGAAGTGTGTTTTGACACAGAGTGAGAACCTCAAGTCATTCTGGGAACTGCCTAATTACATAAACTGAAATCAAAAGAAAGCTGGCAAACCCAGCGGCTACTCATTAATCCCCTCTTGGCATCAGTAGAAAACAAAACAAAAGAAAACACCAGCTTCCTGGTAAAGTAAGCAAATATGTTTTCTGAGGTAATCAAAGATTTTAAAAGCCTGCTTCCATCTCCTCCTCTCTTAATCTCATCTGAATGTCTAAAAGTTATGGTCTTGTGATACCAGTAAAATAATGAAAT